ACTAAGTCCAGATCCAGTAGATAAATAGACTCACCTCTTCAGTGTAACTAGCTGCAATTGTGTATGGCAAAGAGAATGGATGGATATGGAGGTGAGTGCTTGGCTATTCACTCTACCGCAGTTATTATCTGGTAGATTCTACTCTCTGCCTTTCCACCTCTATATGCCTCTCTTCCTTCTCCAGACTCCTCCTGCCTGAGGGAGATGTACGATGAGATGATTCTCTTGTATTCTTTTCCCTGCTCTCCAGTGTTCCTTTTTTTATGGTTGAACTCTGGTGATATCAGCCCCATAATCAATATACTCCATGTCTACCTATAAATTTATCTTGGGTTGATTTCCTAAGAGTCCCCACTGGTGAGATCTATTTACTTTTCTGCTTTGGGTCACCATTACTCGAGATGGTTCCCTGTACCACATTGTCCCCTGTTCTACTTTCTAAACATACTTTAACCTTCTCTTACCCCCTAATCTTTGCTGAAGCTCCGTTTCTTTGGGAGTTTTTCTTTTCTTCTTATCTCTGATGGTTGAAGTTGTATCCTCCTTCAAGAGGGAGCTCAGATGCTGGCTTTTTTTTTTTAAGACTAGCTCAGGTCTCTCCCCCTGCCCCCCAATGGTGGGGTTACTGCTTGCAAACTCAGGTTTCTTTCTCTCTTGTCTCCAACAGCATTTGGCACCTTGTGTCTTGACTTAGCACTCTAGGCAGACACGGAGATGTTGCTGGTACAGTAATGTCACAAAGGGGACATTTAGAAGAGGTCTGTGGAAAGACAGAGGGCTGGCACGAAGGTGACAAGACACAGTGCTCCCCAGCCACCCAGGAAGTAATGCAGTATTTGGCTCTTTCAGAATGTGGCTTCTATCCCTTCAGCTTCCAATGGAGAAGAAATAAACCACCCCTTCTCATTTATTTCCTTATAAAGCACAAAACTCAGCACACTACTGAAGCCAGCTTGACTTTTGCCTGAGGCCAGAAGGGCGCCCGCTCTCTCTCTCTCTCTCTCTCTCTCTCTCATTTAGACTCTCTCTCTCTCTCTCTCTCTCTCTCTCTCTCTCTCTCTCTCTCTCCATTTTATCCCAGACCCATCCTCTTGCTGTTTGGTTAACTTATCTTTCTCTAAAAGGACCTCGGGCGTGGAGGATGGCTATGACGCTCAGTTGCTGACTGCATTGTGTGTAATTTCATCTCACCAGGTTTTCCAGGCTGAAAATCTAGTGTGTGTGACCTCTCTCCTCCTTCCTCTACCCTGCTGTGGCCCTCTGAGTGTTAGCTGAAGTGCTTCACAGAGGCACCGTACTTTGGCCGGCTCCGTCTTCCTCTGTCCTCACGGCATGGGTTCCACCACTTAGGTTCTGATTGTATCCAGGGAAACCAGAGGAAACGATAGCAGATTATTCTGTCTGTCAGACACCTGTGTTTCCTGGTGTCATTGCCGAGTCCCTTTTCCTTTACGGAGTGGATGGTGCAGGGCCAAGGCTTTTGTCACAGTTTACAGGCCTATGACAGGATCCCTAGGACAGGATCCCTATGACAGGACCCCTATGACAGGATCCCAATGGTGCCACTCCTTTTTGCTACCAGTGCTATTTTGGTATTTTCTTCAGTTTTGTCTTATTCTCATGTGAACAAAAATTCTATTTATAATCTCAGTTAAGCAACAGGTAGGCAAATAGGAATAGAACCAAAATGCATTTCTTGGAAAGAGGTAGATAGTTCTTTACTTGGATAATGTTGTCTAGGAGCTGTGACCACCCCTATCCCCAGTGCAGAGGATGTTATTCGTAAAATGGTGATAAGGTACATGGGAGAATAACCACTTTTTCTCTAGTTTGAAAATAGATTTTTTTCATACAATATACTCTGATTATGATTCCCCCTCCTTATCTCCCATTCAAGTCCACATTGTTTCTTTCTCTCTCTCATTTGAAAACAAACAGGCATCTAAAAAATAACAAAATAAGATAAAATAAAAACAAACAGAAAAAAAGCAGCCTAAGAAAATGCACAAGAAACACATACAGACACATGAAACACAGGTCCACACACATATAAACCTCATAAAAAGACAAAATCAGACACTGAGATAAGCAAAAGATCTAGAAGGTAAAAAGATGCCTGGATAAAGGATTATGAGACAAAACAACCCCATAAATACCACTGAGCTTGTTCCATGTTGGCCATTTTGCCAGACACGGGGCCTGCTCTTAAGTGTGGTTTGTATAGCCAGTAACACTCCGTTGGAGAAGAAATAACCATTTTTACAAAGCAAATAGCCCCTAACCTTTATGGACACAGCTTGTCCCTCCAGAACAGCCAAAGTATAGTATGCTTAAAATGAAGAGTCATTGTACAGTTCACCAAGGAATGCTAAATTTATATAAACTTAAAAAAAAGTCCATTTTTTTTCAAGACAGGGTTTCTCTGTGAAATAGTCCTGGCTGTCCTGGAACTTACTCTGTAGACCAGGCTGGCCTTGAACTCACAGAGATCCACCTGCCTCTGCCCCCTGAATGCTGGGATTAAAGGCGTGCACCACCACCTCCTGGCAAAAGTCCAATATTTTTTTTAATAAAAGAAGTTTTACTAAAGATACCATTAGCAGTTATTTTAAAATTCCATTAACCATTCTTTGGACATATAACTTTTTATGCTCACTTACTGTTATATTTTATAGAGAAAAGTACATTTTTTTTCTGTTGATGGTCACTCCAGTTTAAACTCTCTCCCAGACTCAAGGCTCCCATGCAGCAAGATATTATTATCAGTCAGTACTTAGCCAGTACCTTCTGTATGTCCAGGGATGGACAGACAGAGTCCTCTGCCTTGGTTGTGTGGGGCATCTTAGGGAAAGAGAATATTGCTGCTTACTTTGTTTTATGATCAGAGAGAAGGTGACTGTGTCTGTGACCTTTCAGTACTCTGAGAAAGGAACATATTGAGGAACGGAGAAAAGACATTGCACACCCAGGCTCTGGCCCTAGGGAGAAGTGAAGTGCATAGCTTGGCCATTTGGATAAAGAATGTACCCTTCATGAGACGACTTCTGATTCTTTCTAAAATGTGAATTTTTAATGGGGTCCTACTCTAGAGTCTCTTACCGAAGCATACTTCTCTACTTCTACATTTTAAAATTGATCAGGTGGAAAGGCTGTTTGATTTGGTTTTCATTTCTAGAGGAGAGTGGATTTTCCATAAATAACCATTCGCTGTATGATGCCATTTTTTTTTTTTTAAACTGGCAAAGCCGCTAAAATGGGTTTTTAACCTCTTCCCTTCACTATTTTAGGTTCAGAACTCAGGAAAAGTATAATATAAATATAATGGGGGGATGTTTTGGATAGTTAATGGGTTCTAGGGTGTCAAGCATTAGTTTGGGAGTTGATTGTTGACGAGATTATAGCTATAATGTCGCACTTCTGTCTTCTGGATTCTTTGAAACATTGAATGTGGTATCGCAGCAGGCATCTAACTCCCCCTTCAGGACACTCAAAAAAGCCTACGTTATATTCCACCTCTCTTCCCTGAGGACCCCAGCTTGTGGTTAGCATGGCCAGCTAATTGCAGTATTGTAGAAAGTCTGAAGATGGCAAGAAAAAGACAGCTTATTTCATTCCGAGATTCCCAACAACCTGGGACGCCATCCACACATCACAGAAAAATGGTGAGGAACTAACAGAAAATGGCCCTTGCACCTAGTCTGCTTTTGTGTTCTTCCAGAGTGGGTGGGCTATGCTGTGTTCCCAGCACACTGGCAGGTGGACTGTCACAGACCCCTCACTATGATGAGCCTCCAGAGAAATCAGAGGGCAGACAGTCTGCCCAAGATAAAGGCATCAGAGTTGTGTGCTGGGAGTTAGCAGGATAAGGAAGGGCAGTGAGCACAAGTTCTGGTTACATTCCTAGGGTGTGGAGACCAGAGCCACAGGGAGGTGTGGCCTTATTTCTGAATGAGTGTGAGAGATACTGGTGGCAAGCTAGAGGTCTGTTGTCTAATGGTAGGAAGCAAAAGGGAAGAGGAAGTGAGCAATTCTGACATATCCTGAGCTACCTAAAGACTTCCAACTAGGCTCCACCTCTTAAAGGCTCTACTTCCTAATAGTGGCATTCTGGGGCCCAAGTCATAGCACATGGGTATTTGGGATACAAGCAAGATTCAAGCCTTAAGAGACTGCCTGTTATCCTTTGGACTTAAGTGCCCCCCAAAGGTCCACATGGTAAAGGTTTGCTCCCCAAAGAGTACTGCTGAGAGGAGGTAGAGCCTCTAAGATGCAGGGGCCTTTAAGTTATTGAGGGTGTGCCCCCAAAAGGTATTATGGGGTATCTACCCTCTTCTTTGTCTTCTTTTGCTTCCTGGTCATGAGGTGAGTGGTTTTGTTCTTTCAGATGTTCTTGGCACATGATACTGCCTTGCCACAGACCCAAGAGCATAGCGACAGCTGAACATGGTCCAGATGTACCAAGACTGTAAGGCAAAAAAAATTGACCTTTTCTCAGATGTTTCTATGCAACGGGAAGCTGACTAGAAACACAGCATCCTCAGTGGAGAAGCACCTGTGAGTGGCAGCTATCATTACTGATAAACTAGGAAAGACCAACAAGGCAGTGAATCAGCTGATTTACCTGGCCGCGTCCCACTCTATCTGCATTAAGTTTCACCCGTCATGGTCATGATATCTTCTTGAACCTCTTTTCTCTTGTGGGGATGTGGAGCAAAGGCTGCTATTCTGATGTAACTGTGTCTGCTCAGATGCAAAGATGGCAGAAAGATGAAGGAGACTTTGTAGACAGTACAATATGAGGGAAAAAGACTTTTGCTTAAAACTGACTGTAATTCTAGCCTCATTAGTGCCTATTAATCTCCAGGCTCCCTCCTTGCGACTGCAGCTCAGGCCTAAGGAATGCAGTTGGTGAGAGGCACAGCTGCTCCCAAGCTCTTGGTCCTCCGTCTTCTCCACGAGACCTGTTCTGAAAAATGATGCAGTGAACACATTTCCAGGGCAAAAGAGTGCAGTTCCCATTAGCCTGTCACTTTGGGGCCTCCTGGAAGGGAAAGAAGAGCTTTCAAGACCTAAAGATAGCCTTGCTAAAGATTTTTCCCAGGACTTTTGTGCAAATGAGAACTATGAGGTTTGCATAACAATGACTGAGATAAATTGGGAAAAAAATGCAGCCACTCACTGGAGAAAACCAACTCTCATTAATGGACGGGATAATTGCAAGACACAAGGCTGGGACCTAGCGGCCTTTTGTGTTATCTCCTGTCATCTGAACTGAAAAGTGCCTATTCACCAGCCCGGTGATTGGTGATTGAGGGTGGCTTTACTGCTTGCCAGCTGGGTGAACCTCATCATGTTACTCAAGCCTTGAAGCCTCAGTTTTCTAATCTCATCTTTAAAATGGGACTGTTACTGGGCCTCTTCTCATGGAGATACTGTGAGTTATAAACGTGCTGTGTGTGCGCTACGGTTTAATTCAGGGCCCGACACACGTGTTCAGAATGGGGTTCCTTTTCTTTCTCATTGGGGTTTGCTTTCAGGATTGCAGGGTGCTCTGGTCTGTTTTATTTTAGTGTGTTGGCTTTATCACAACACCTTGGAGACTCCAACATAGATTCTGAAGGCCCAAGCTCATTTGCTTTCGTATAACAGTTATTAATTGTGTTTTTTTTTTAAAAAGGATGCTTTAGGCAAAGCAAAAATAATTGAAAAATCCAGAGAGCCGCATATCTCAGAGGCTCAATTAAAACAGTCTTATATCCAAAGGAACACAAAGTGGCAGCTAGTATTCGTAAGTAAATAGGCCATTGCCACACAAGGACTTTCATAGTCGTGGAAATGAAATACGTACCTTAGGAGCCCATACTTTACTCACTTTTTCACTTATTTATTTATTCATCCTGCCGTGTAGTTCTGAGTTTGGGTCAAGTATTTGGATACATGTTGGGAATGCTGTGACGCAAAGCAGATGTAGTTACATTACCAGATTAGCATTTGAATGGGAGACATGGGAAGACCCACAAAAGGAACAGTGAAATTATTAAAAATCATTGGAAACTGCAATAAAAACAGTCATCTCTCAGTGTCTGAAGGGGGTTGTTTCTAGGACATCTCCCCATCATTCCTCATAGATACTAAAATCTACAGATGTTCAAAGTTCTTTATATAAAATGCTGTAGTGTTTGCCTGACTCCCACACATCTGATTGCAGATCCGAAATCGCCCCTTGATCTCTTATATTACCCAGTACAGTGTGAATAGTTGTTAGACTGCAGTTCTGAGGAGACGGTGACAAGGAAAAAATGCCTGTACGTGCTCATTACAGACGCACTGGTAGGGGATGGCTTTGATCTGTGAGTCGTTGAATTTATAGATCTGGAATTCGTGGATGTGGGGAGCCTGCTGTGTTATAAAGGAAACCAATGGAAGTCTCAGACAGCAGTGGTGGAAAGGGGGAGAACTGTTTTATACCCGAAAAAGGTGGAAAGCGCTATCCATAAGTGGGAGATGGGACACACTATAGTAAGGAACAGAATCCTTGAAAACCAGGCAAAATACCCTGTGGTTAGAGCGACAGGGGAGGGAATTATCTCCAGGAAAATCCAGGTCAGGCAAGCCCTGCAGCCATGGAGGGAGTGTAGTTTTTTTATGCCACAGAAAGGGAAACCATTAAAGTTTTTTTTTTTTTTTTTTTTTTTTTCAGTTTATTGTTTTAAAAAGTTAGGACAGGGTCTCATAGAGCCCAGGCTGGCTTCCAACTCTTTATGTAGCCAAGGGTTACCTTGAACTCCTGATATTCCTCCCTCTACTGCTCAAGTGCTTAGGCTTATTGGTATGCTCCACCAGACTTGGCTAAGGAAGAATTTAAACAGAAAAAGCACATAATACCACTCTGGCGTAGGTGTGGAGACTGTCTGAACTGTCTCCATGGCAGTTTGGAAAGAGCACACTGGAGCAGTGTTCAAATGGGGTTCAAGTGGGCCTTGGCAGTAGAGGTAAAGAGTGTACTGAATTGGCCAGTCTGTTTGCTTTGGACAAAAGGATTCAGCTTCAGACCATGAACTTCACGTCATGAGTAGGCTCAAGTACATGTTTATTAATCAAAATTGGAACCACTACAATCAACACATTTTTGCCAGTGAGAACTAGTTTGTTTATTTCTATAGCATAAAATCTGTGCTTTGGGGTTGAACAAACTTTTGGAAATCATTTTCTACATCCCCCCTTTTCCCGGGAGAAATTGAGATGCTTGAAGAAGCAGTAGTTGGTTTGTTGCCAAAAGGTTGGGTTAATATGATACATGAGGCAGAACTTCATAATTTGTTCAGCTTTTAAAGACTTGATTGTGTGACACATGGTTGGAAGCTATAGTGGAGGAGAATTAGGCTCTTTCTGGTGATCAACGCTGGCTTCAGGGATTGACATTTTCAGTGCACACCTTGACTTGCTGAATGTACTTTTTAGATATAATGGTGTCCCCTGGGGTTCAGAAATCTGTGTTGGACCAGACTAGCTTCCCTGTTGATGGTCAAGTTCTTCTCACCTTTCCATTTTGCTCTAAAGGCTGGATGACAGGCGAATGGTCCACACTGAGCTCTTAGGCAACATCTCCTACAGCTGGCTGTAAGAGGATTTGCTGTGAGGATTGTTCTCACTTGGTTGTTGTTGGCTTCTGATGGCTGACAGCCTCACTCATCATCTTCCAGGTTCACTTGTCTCCTTGGTAGAACTTCTGCTTGTACCACCACTGTACAGGTTCAATGCCTTGTTGACGTCATTCTATACTCACATGAAGTTCCAGGCCAAATGCATGATTGACATCATAAGCTGCCTCAGCTGCTTTATAACACATTTGGAATGCAAATGAAAGACTTTAAATTTGCCTTTTGTCTAACATTATTATTTTTTATTTTTTGAGACAAGGTTTCTCTGTGTAGCTTTGGAGTCTTTCCTGGAACTCACTCTGTAGCCCAGGCTGGCCTCAAACTCACAGAGATCCACCTTCCTCTGTCTCCCGATTACTGGGACTAAAGGCATGCGCCACCACCACCTGGCTGTCTAACATTATTTTTATAATGTAAAATATATATGAAGTAAACAGAAAATAATAAGTCATTAGCAGAAACCAGAAAGTGAGAAATTTGCATTAAACTGATATATGACATAGCCACACTTATTGAACAGATATTTTAATATCAAACAGCAAATTTCAGAAATTTAAAAACTATGTTTGCTTTTGCACCAACCTAAGGCATGTCTATCCCAGTAACACGAATCTTAAAAGATTTTATTAATAAAAACAAACCCGGAGCCAGGTATTGGGGTGAACGCTGAAAGATCAAAGAAACAGAACAAGCCACATCCAACCTCACCTTGCCAACTTCTCAACTGATCTTGTTTCCTCAGACTGAAAGCCTCTGAGTCCTCATCTGAACACATCTCAGCTGAACTGCTGCTAAAAGCTAAAAGCTTAAAAAGACTTCTAGTTCCTGGTCCTCATGCCTTATATACCTTTCTGCTTCCTGCCATCACTTCCTGGAATTAAAGGTGTGAGTCACCATGCCTAGCTGTTTCCTGTGTGGCTTTGAACTCACAGAGATCCGAATGGATCTCTGCCTCCAGAATGCTAGGATTAAAGGTGTGTGTGGCACCATTTTCTGGCTTCTATGTCTGTCTAGTGGCTGTTCTCTTCTCTGACCCCAGATAAGTTTATTAAGGTGCATAATATATGTAGGGACACAATATCACACATCCCTGTGTTGTACTTGGGTAGAACTTGCAGTTGTATACATGTTTCTGCAGCTAAAAGGAGAAGTTTGAGCCAAGATGTAATAAATTTGAAAGTCGCTGAGCCACATGCACTACAGTATTTAAAGCCACCCTGAGCTCCTGGGAAATTGTGGAGAGAGTAAATATTAGATCTTAGAACCAGCAAGCTTGAGAATCAGGGAAAGTGTCACAAAGGAGATCTTGAAGGAATAACTAGTAAGACAAGAGGAAATCCTGGGGACCATAGAACCCAGGAGATGAGGCAGTATTTAAGGAACGAGGGAAGCAGCCTGGTTGAAGGCTGGGAAGAAGTAGAAGAAGTAGGTAGGGCCAGGTGCTAGTGTAAGCAGCATGGAAATAGATTTTGGCCATCATAAGAGGCCTGGTGGGTGGTAGAGTAGTGTATATTGGGAGCCGATCAGAATAAGTTTAAGAGTAAATGGGGATAAGTTGACATTTGTGTGAGCATCTCTTTTAAGAAGATTGGCATAGTTAGGTCAAGGAAAAAGGAGGGCTCTCCAAAGACAGGTTTTAAGAGAGTCTGTTTCCACACGATGAGAATGTTCTTCCAAGGAGGTTAGCAGCAGAAGAAGCAATGTCCTTGAGAAGGTGAGAGGGAGTTTTATGCAGGGCACACATGGAGGGATTGGAATTCTATGAAGCAGGGAAGGGTTAATCATGAATGAGTGTATGTTTAAATACATGAAGCTTGTACGTGCTAGCTTTAAATACGTGCTAGCTTATGGTGTATTTTTTGCCCTTAAAGAATGGGCAAGACCATCCCATAAGGCTGTGAATAGAGGAGGGGGCATGGAAATTCTGAAAGAAAGTAGAGGGGGTAAAATGATGATCCATCCAGTCACTGGAGAAGAGCCGACAAAGAAAAGAGCCTGGGCTTGTTGATTTTTCTTGAGTGCACACGAGTACATGCATTTCAAGTAAGACCTGTCCTGTAGGGTATAGGCTCTAGAGAAGAGCTGTTTGTTTTCTTTGGCACTATTGGCATGGTGCCTGACCAGGCCTAGAGAAATAGGAGAAGCTCAAGAAATGTTCATCAAATGAACAAGTTCACTTGTGGACTCCCTAGCGGTGTTTAGCTGCTCAGGAAGGGACGTGGAAAGGAAGAGGGGTAGCATTCTAGTGGGCAGAGGTTTTCATAGGCAAAAATGACTGGCAGTAAGCAGCCAGGGAGTGGAGGGTATTTGTGAGGGGGTAATTACAATGGGCTCTATCATCAAGGTTGAAATAAGAGGAAGGCTAATGGATAATTAGCTAATGGAGAGGGAGAAAGCGGTTTGTGGTTAGAAAGTTTGGCGGAAGGGATTGAAGTCTTCTCGAAGAATAAGAGGTTGTGGTTGCCAGGTAGCAGGCTTGAATTTGGGATTTGAGAAAGAGAGTAGGTGCTGGCGATAGCATAGGACATGGTGGAATGAGGGGGCAGAGCCAATCATGCTTATGAGGTCAAAGAGATGACAGGCCCTTTCTATTTTCTCCTTACATCACTGGGTTTACCGTGCTTGGGATCCTATACTGTGGGAAAAGCAGGTGGACTTCAGGGTAAAAAAGATCTCTTTTTGCCATCACCCTCAACAAACATCATAACCAAGCATGCTCATCTTGGGGATAAGGATATTTTCATGGTCATTTGAAGAGCCAGAGGGCACTAAG